AGCAAATTTTCAGCAGTAAATCAGTACATTTTAAGCATTAAATCAGTACATTTTCAGCAGTAAATCAGTACATTTTCAGCATTAAATCAGCAAATTTTCAGCAGTAAATCAGTACATTTTAAGCATTAAATCAGTACATTTTCAGCAGTAAATCAGTATATTTTCAGCAGTAAATCAGTACATTTTCAATAGTAAATTAATGGAATTTATTGAAAAATAAACGAATATTTAAGAAAGAACGTGACTAAATTTTCAACAACAATCAATAAATTTTTAGGAATTAATCTAAGAAGTTTTTTATATAACAAATAAAAATATTTTAAAAGGAACACAAATTGGTAAATATTTAAAATTAAATACAAAAAATACAGGAAACTTTTAAGAATAAATCGTCAAGATTTTACGTGTGAATCAACTAATTTATTTAATTTTTTAAATTGCATTTGAAATAATAAACCACAATAAAAACATCTTTTTAAATAAAAAAAAACACTTAAAATATATTTTACAATCTACATTAGTAATTATAATTAAAATATTTTCTATAATATAAATGTTAGAAACATACCTTGTAAATAAGGGATGAGTCGACACATGACTTCACCAAAGATAAATTTTCTTAACAGCACACCCGCTAATGTAAATGGCATGCAAAAAACACCAAGAAGAAGATCACTAATTGCTAAATTAAGAAGGAATACATTTGTTACGGTCCTCATTCTCTTATTTATAGCTAAAGTTATTATAACTAGTCCATTCCCTACAATAGCTAATAAAAATATGATACTATAAAGCAGTATCAGACGGATTTGTTCTTCTATATTTATAATGGAAGTATCCGTTACTGTAATATTCTTTTCCCAATCTGTATCGTTGCCTGCCATTTCCTCGTCCATCTGACGTCTTCTCAGAGCTGCAACTAACAGAATATCCCCAATACTCGTCCTTCTCTAGCATTGGATGGTGGATGTAACTCCCGAAACTCCCTCTATTCTCTGATTGGAAATCTGAAGTTTACTAAAGTTTCTGCTTGAATTTTTTCTATTTTTTTCCACTATTATGCATTACGAAATGGAATAATGTAATATAAATTTTATTATTTTTTAAAATAGTTTTAAGTGAATTTTTGTTATATAAATTTTAATACGTTTTATTAAATATTTTTAATGTTTTTATAATTATAATATAATTTTTATATATTGTAAGAAAGATCTATCTTTATATGCTTATTTTAAAAATTAAAATAAGCGTATATATTGTTCTTAAGCATTAATGGTGCAATTTAAATAAAGTTTTACTGTATTTTTCTTAGAATTAATACTCAGATATGATATATAAACTGTTAGTTAGTTACTGCATGTGAATTGTTATTTATATACATAGACAGGTGTATGTGATGGTTAACAATACTCAATAAATAACGTGTATATTTTTATACTTTCTCATTCACCTTTCTACTTAGCACGTCATACTGAGTTATTTCTTATCCTCTTTTTCACTCTCGTCTCTTCTTCAACCTAAATTCTTGAATAGATTTGCCTCCTTCCTTTTATCCCTACTCATCCCCTCATCCTTTTTTTTTCTTCAGTGTAAACACTATGTGGGCTTGTCTCCTCCCTCTTATCCTTTCTCATTCCCTCATCCTCTTCCTTTCTTCAGTCTAAACACGTATGTAGGTTTGTCTCCTCCCTCTTATCTTTTCTAGGTGTGTCTCCTCCCTCTTATTTTTTCTAGGTTTGTCTTTTTTCCTCTTATCTTTTCTAGGTTTGTCTTCTCCCTCTTATCTTTTCTAGGTTTGTCTCCTCCCTTTTATTTTTTCTAGTTTTGTCTCCTCCCTCTAATCTTTTCTAGGTTTGTCTCCTCCCTCTTATTTTTTCTAGGTTTGTCTCCTCTTTCTTATCTTTTCAAGGTTTGTCTCCTTCCTCTTATCTTTTCTAGGTTTGTCTCCATGTTTTTATTTTTTATCATCACCTAACTTCAGCTTAAACTATTAAGTAGTCTCTACACTCTAATAATAATACTAATTTACTGTCCGCCATTTAGAGGTGGCCGTTATTGAAAGGTTTGACTGTATTAAGCATATTCGTATAACAAATTTTTTTAAATACAAGCAGATGTTACATTTTTCTTCTACTTAATCGGACAGACAAACTGACGACAATAGGAATGTATAGGTCTACAATTTGAAAACTTCAGCCGGAATATATGAAAATTATAACGTTTGTCATCGTCAAGCCTACATTTCCTCAAGGGTTGAGATGATTTATGTGTTCTTACAGATAATCTAGACGAAATTTACGAAAAAAATAAATGTTTTTCGATTATTTTTTACGTAAATTTTGTCGTTAATCATGCTTAAGGTACATTATAATTGCATTCACTTATACTTACGCATCGTCTGAATGTATAACTCTTAAATGTAAATAGCATTATGCATTCAGATATATTTGAATTTAACACTAAAAATTATGAATTTATATAAAATTACGTAAAAAATATAATAAAATGGCGAATGATAATAAAAAAGTTAATTTATTAAAGAAAAAAATAATATTTCTAATTATTTTATAAGCAAATACGTAGTACAATAGAAAGAAATCTGAGTAATAAGGAGGATAAGTAAGTGATAAAGAAGATGAAGGGAATAATTGAAGAAGTAACTTACGAAAATGATAATTAGAGGATCAGTGATTATCATCTGAACATAAGAAAATATACAAATTTACACTAGAAACACTTAACGACGTGGTAATGCTGAGTTAAACGTCTCGGTGATCGCGATCTACTTGTTGCGAATCTCATATACACTTTCATCCTGTTCATTCTCTTATAAAAAATTAATAATTTAAGATTACCTTATTAATTTTTAAATTTCTATCAAAACATCGATTGTAAAAAAGGATGATTTGCATTATATTTTTATTATATAAACTTGTAATTTATAAAAGAAAAAAAAAGGAAAAGATTTTTAATTAAATCTTTCAACCTTTTAATACTTTAATCAAAGCATTGTATATCGACATAAGTTTATTTATAATGTTTCAAATTAATAGAATAATATTAATTTTCTTTTTTTTAAATTAGAAAATATTTATTTTAAGTTAAAAAACACTTAATTATAATGAATAAATGTCAATTTTTTCGACTTATTCAGAAGATTTTCAACAAGTTAATCACTTCAATCAGATATATTTCTTTTTTTTAAAATTAATGATCTAATTTATTTTAAATAATTCTTAATAATATGTTTTCTTTAATGGCAAATATAAAGTATTTTTATTTTTCTTATTTAATCCGTATTTTTTTACTTTGTTTTTTCTTAAAAGTTAAAAATCTAATCAATGCGATTTCTATTTCTTGTGACATTAGTCGAGTCATTTTTCTTTAAATTTTATTTAAAAAAAAACCTACTTTAAAATTTTAAGAAGTTTATAATAAAAAGGTTTTTATTTTAAAAAAATTTTAAATATTTCGGGAATAAATCTGATTTTCTTTTTTTCTTCTTTCAGTTGAACCTCCGTTGACGGACACCGCTAAAGTACGTTCATTCTTTCATATATGCATATAAAATAACCTTTAAACAACGGCCAGTTTTTGTTGTTTCCGTCAGTAAACACAGAGGTACTTTTATAGTCGAACCTCTATTAACGGACACCTCTAAATAGCGACAATTTCATCAGAAACTTTCATAAACTCAAAATAGAAGCTACCTTTGAACGACGGACACTTTTGTTGTTCTTGTAAGTGAACACAGAGGTTATTGTATAGTCCAACCTCCATTAACGGACACCTCTAAACAGCGTTCAATCGTTCAACAACTTTTTATTGAACAAAAATGCGTACAAAATAACTCTTCCGAACAACGGAAAATTTTTATTGTTGTGGTCAGTGGCCTTTGTTTACAGGTTTGGTTGTATTTGGTTGTATCAGTTATAAAGGAATGAGTCAAGCACTTTAAATGATAAAAAATCTGTAGTTTTTCTTCATTTTAATGTAAAATTTCTTCATTGTAAGGGACTATGAAGATGTCTGTCTCGTTATAGCTATGTGTTTCTGCTTGAGGCTACTCATTTATTTCTATAAAACTTCTGCACCTCTCTTAATATCAATTGTCAATATTGAATTTGAAAATTTATTATTTTATGTCGGTAATAAAACCAAATCTTTTATGAAATTTGGAATTTTGTCACCACCTACTGTAAAACATAAAAAGTTACTGTTTAATTTAATATGAGGATGAACTTTAACTGGTATTTTTATCGTAAAATTTAACATCTGTAAGTAAATTAAGTTTATTGTTTATTGTTTCCTCATAATTAGGTTATGTTATAACAAGAATGACGCATTCAGTAATCAAAACTGTTTGATACTATTCAAGGCACTTATCTGTCTATTTAATGTAAAATATAATACGTTTATCAGTTATTAATTAGAGAATAAAGTTATATAAATGATGGACCAAAAGACAGTTAACTATTATTATCTTATTCAAACGCTCTATTATTCTTTACAGAATTATTCAAGACGGGATCCTTCTTGTTTGGCACACAAATTACAACAGAATAAATTATAATTTTTTTATTAAATATTTTTAAAAAAAAAATATTAAAATTGTAAAATTTACATCTATTACTTTATTCTTTAATAGATTTTTATAAAAGAAAATCTTTATGGAATAACAAATTTGATATTATGAAAAAGGAAATTCAGAAAATTCTTTTCTAACGATCTCAGTATAGTGAAAGAAATCTTTCATTATACAAAGTGTTGTTATCTTTAAAAGATATTTTGAATGAAATCTTAAACACTGTTTATACTGTTTGTCACGGTGTTATTAATACATACCTTTTATAAAATAAAGAATAAAGTAAAGTCACAGGAAGTTTTTAATCAAAACTTTTTCTTCTATCATCTTTCAATAGTTTACTGTATTTCCTCCCCTCGTTAAACAATACTTTTATTCTGTTCTCATTAACTAACGCTAAATATGGATGTAAGAATATTTGTTTCTTAATTAGCAAACTGGTGTTTTAGATTTTAAAGAATTTACAGCTTAAAATTAATTTAAAAACAAGCATATATTTATAATTTTATAATATAAAATAAATGTATATTTATTAAGGTACAGTACATAAAAAGATCATTTAGATCGAGGGATCCACAGGCATAGAGAAATTGCCTTTTTCGAGTTTTCTTGTTTACGATTTTACTTTATAACAGAGAGAAAGTAAGGCAATCGATCAAAAAAATGTCCTCCCCTCAAAATTTTTACACTAAGGAACATTGAAACGTCGAGAAACGTAAACAAATTTGGGGGTTTTATTATGTGTATGGGATGTTAGTGTGTGGGACAGCATATTGTTTACCTATTTTGAAGCTTAATAACTCTCGTACCTCTTGTCTAAAATTTCTGAAATTTTGCAGGGAGGTTTGTGTATTAGTGTCATAAATGTTGTTAAATTTTGGTGGTTAAAGGTCGAAGGGGTGGGAAGATAAAGGGGTTCGTACATAGGTTAGTATTTAATGACTATTTTACTCTGTTAGCATTTACAATTTTTTATCGCACACAATTTATTTTAATAATAGTTACATTAAAGTAATTTCCGCTCATTGCGAGAAGATGCCCCTCTAGTTTTTCTTAAAACCTTAAGCAGGACCTGTAACATTTGGCACACTCCCAAATTTTTGGAGTAGTCAGAGGTTCTTACGCGATTTACACAGGTTTTGTCGAATTCCCAAAATAAAACAACGTTCAACAAAATAGCGAAGAAGTAAATAAAAAAAAGCACCGTTTAACACAGAAAAAAAGGAAACAAGGGAGGTAAAAAACTATTCCTTGTTAGCCAAGTGGCTCTTTAATTTATTAAGAAGCCACTTGCTTTCAAGTGTCGAAATGTTTTCAAGAAGATTTACCTTACTTTTAAGTTATCTAGAAAGCTTCTCTTTTAAGATAAATCGTAATTAATAATTAGTAACAGGCTAACTGATTTG